ATATGGGCTACATTCTACCAATCAAACAGAAATTTAATTATGAAATGTTTCAGTCAGGGAAATACATTAGTCAGGGAATATTTATGTCAGAAGTGTTGAAAATCTTCCTAGAGAAAAATAAGAAGACTACATTAACTAATCTTATGCAGTATAAAATATCACAATAAATCTGCAAAGCAGTTGAGAATTTGGTAAATTAAATATGACGCAAATAGTTTCAGGGTGCCTTAAAACTCTCATTCTTGCTTTTAATCGCTAAAATCCGTGATGAAAGACTGAGACTAAATAATCATTTCTACTTTCACTTCCGCACACATCACCTTTCATGAAAAAAAAAAAAAAAAGAAAAAAAAAAAAATTATTTCTAAATATGAGGACAAAGAGCGAATTTTAAAATTAATTATTAACATTAAACACTCACCATCTTAAATATGTGCATGTTGTTATTAATAGTTTAAAGACGTAAAATGAATTATCGAGAATTCGTATTTTTATTTCAGTAAGAAATTCGTATTTTTATTTCAGTATTCGTAATTCAAATTTATTTGCAGCTCGTATTATATGTATAAATAATATTTTTGATTTAAAACATCTAAGAATTTCTTTCTAGAAGAAAATGGTAATGTGATAAATTTTTAAACTTTCGGAAAAATGCCGTTTTCTGCCATTTGAAATTTTATGGGTATCGTGACATATAGAAATTTCACATGTTTTATTTAAGTGCACGAGGTTTTCTACCTCGTAAATGAATAATAAAATTTCTTGTTTTTTCGTCTCCTAAACATTATGAGAATTGCAAATTAATTATCAAAATGACAATTATGTAAGTAAACATATTTTATGTTCTGAATGCTCATGCTGTTTCTTAATTTAAATTAATTTTAATGGAAGAAGTAACTGCTATTTATTCCTGCTCCGTATTCTTGTTTCATTTCACGAGGGCAGGAGTATGTTGTTTAATGTATTTTTAATCCTTTATCATTTCATTTCGAAAGTTATAAAAAAATGTAGATAGAAATATTTTCGCGTCATTTTTTTTTTTCTTAAACGAACATAAAATTGGTGATGGAAATTTCTAAATGTCACTGAGATTTACAATAATATTTTGCTCTCTTGACAAGTTAATATAAAAATTACTCGTTCAAAACTGATAAAAGTACCCTACACTTCTATTTCTTTACCGAGCGCTGCAGTATTTTGATGTCTATCCATATACAGTGATGGTTGTAATTTTATGTCAATCAGTTTTCATCTTATGTTCGATGTGTTGATCGAACATAAAAACAACGGCCTATGTTCGTAGGTACTGGTATAAGCTAGGCCAGCAGGTGATTTAGGTATTCCTGAACTTAGCTAGCTGTTAAGCTTCAGTCCCAGTCGTGAGAGAGAACTTCTCGGAGGGCTGTCCGAAGATCTCCATTCATTTTCCCTTGCCACCAACGTCTCAAGACGACTTTCAGATCGTCGTGTATTTTGAGTGCCTCTTTTCGTGAAGATACTTTTCGCTTAAAAACATCCACCATTCTTCTTCTTTCAAACCTGGGCCCATTGGTAAGGTTGTCATCGTCACTAACCACTATTTCAGCTGGGCGGCCGCCTTCACAGTTACATCTATTGGTAAGCATAGCGAGTAATATCTAAATAGGGCACTCTAAGGCTTCCTCCTGAAGCTGAAATAAAAATGGCGCTTCTACTCAACCAAGATCGCATGGCAGCAACGTCTGATCTTAGCAATGACTGACTGCTGTACTATCGCCACTTTCTCGTGCAAGCAAGCGAATACATCCTAGTAACATTGATATCCGAAACCTAACGGTAAAATACATGGCAACAATTCAGTGCCTTAACCAAGCGCACGATTTTACGATTTATCTCACACTACATTTCGCCCTCTCTCTCTATATATATTGTGCCTGTCAAAAGTGACACTTAAGGGGGGTGTTGTTCTGTAGAGATATCTCTAGTCCTGAAAGATATAGATATATGTAGGATGGTATGGGCGGTTGAGCTTTAAACATGCTTTTAGCTAGATCATGCGACGTTTTATAGCGCAGCCGCAGAGAAAACAAGCCTAAGCCTTTCACTAACAAAGCAGAAATAAACATCGTTATTTGCTCACGGGTGACATCGTTTGGCAAACATGACCATAATATCTCAAATAGTATCCTTTCAAGGCAGTTCGGGATTAAATAAAGGTGGGGTCATTAGGTAACAAATACTGCACGGCAATAACGCATTGCCTGTCAATTTTTTTGAAGGCTGATTCTGGCCTTCCTCGGGTCATGACATGAAACCTTTGATATATGTTCTAAGAGACAATTAACGTATTAAGGAATCATTCCCAGAACTCAAGAAAATGCAACTATTCTTCGTTTATTATATTATTGAAAACAGATCTTCTGTTAAAATTATATTTTAGAGTAAAACAATAGGCAGTAGTTGTAAAGGACTCATTATTCGTTGCATATCTTATTATCAGTTTCTTTAATTTTATAAGGAAGAAGAAAGAACTGAACCATTTACAAACGAGTGCATCGGAAACAATATATTCCTAACAAAAAAAAAAAAAAAAAAACAGACGCATTAATTAATCTTATTCAGTATAAAAGAAATTAAAAAGCTTATTAAAGAGAATCCTTTTGCAATCCAAAGTTTAAAATGTCCTAAAATGTAAATGATTTTATACATTCCTAGAAGATTACTAAATGCGCAATTACTATCAAATACTGCATGTATTTTTTTACTGAACCCGCCATTCATCCAATCGTGAGATTTGAATCGGATTTGCTTTAATTACTTGATGTAAGTTTAGGGAGACAGTTTGTACGGAATGGTAAAATAATAAAAAAAAATAATAATAAATAAATAAAAAAAAAAAAAAATCCACGAATCTTTAAGCTGCTAGTCGGGTGTGTTGATAAGTACGCAAAAACGAACCTATTGAGCCGAAATTTCTCTCGATAAGTTGCAACAGGAAGGAAAGGTACTATACAAGACTCTTAGGTTTCGTAACCTCTCATTAATGACCTAAACCAAAGTTAAGACAGCGGCTGATGTTGTCTTGCCACCTACAAAATGTTCAAGACGCTTGGCCATGATGAATTCATGAAACTGATCAAGACTCTCGTTCTGATCAAGAGAGTAAGTAACAATAAAGCACACCCAAAACGAGAAGATGCTTTAATTGCGTAAAATTTTTATTTTTAAATGCTTCCAATTTGTACATTTTATGTATGTAGTGACATTCTCATGATTCGCAGAATTACGATAATAAATCATTATAAACTGATCTAGCTGATATATTACAGATTCATTGTTACTGTATGAAACGTTGTTTAAAAGAGGAATGAAGATTGGTATTATTTTCGAGATTTTGTTATGGCTTGATTAGATCAAGAGATAATGCATTTAGACCCTTAATAACAACATGTGATACATGTGTTTATCTTAAATATCTTAAACGAGGGCAATTTTTAGAGGACACAATTAACTCTCAATGGCATAAATGCAACATTTATTTATTTAAATAAACACTAACCAATTTTATTGCATAAAACATAAATCATGAAAATGCTAACCTTTAAATAAGAAGTTTTGAATGCAAAATGTCTGAAAGGTTCAGGAAGTGGATTTTCTCTGCGTAATGTCACTAAGTCGCTTTAGGCTGCTTTTCAAATGAAAGTTCTTAAGTTTACTTTCTACTATGCAACAAACCGAGTCTTAAATTTTTCGAATATTATGATGCATGTAAAATAATTGAGTGATACACGAAGTTGCAATTTCTTGCGATCCACATACCTATAAGTTATCTTTCGGAAAGCGTGAAAACAAGATTTCTAAAGAATGCAATAATGAAATAAATTAAGACAAAAATAAAATGTGAAACTTATAGATTGTATATTACCCCAAAACAAGCATTTTTTCAGAGTTTAACATCATGTTCTTCACAAAACAGCGTATCTTAAGAACTTCCGATGGACAATCTCGCACACTAGAGATACATTTCTTTTTTTTTTTTTTTTTTTTTTTTTTCGTACAATGTTTTTATTGCTCGCATTGAAATCGTTGAGTTTGTTAATTAAAAAATCATTAAAGTTTTATAAAATGTGAAATACATAATAAAACAAATTCGAAATTCAAAATTCGGGCGTCCAGGTGCCCATGTTTGGGTGGAGGATTACGTTACTCAAAATATGATGGGTCTAGGTACCGTCATTTTTTCACAGTGCGAGAAACATACGTACATTAATGCAGATTAATGATTATTTAATCGCTTTAAAATTAATACAGGGCTATAATATTTGGTTGCAACAATTTAAAAAGTGATTCACCTTTTATAATGAAACGCCACAAATTGCCGATTTGAGACAAATAGTCGTTCTGGGCTACCGCACCTTTGGGTTAAAAAATAAACTTAACTACCGAAACTTTATAAGTTACTACCTGAGACGAGAATAGCATTTTTTGTTGGGGATATATGTAAATTAAACTTTTAATTTCAATTCTAAGTAGCCTCGTTCTTAATTTTGCTACTTCTTTCTTTCAAAATTGTAATATACTTATAAAAAAACTTTCTTTATTCCTTTACTCCACAATTAATGCTTAGCATAAGTCGCATATACTTACATAACTGCAAAAGTGAAAACTAAAACTTTGAACCAGTGTTAACCAATTTATGAAAAGAACTTCTATGAAAGAAAATATCTAATTTCTAAAAAAAAAAAGTTGAAATTTTTCAGTTTCAAATCGTCAGTATCGCATGCAAGCCATTTTAAAAACATCTAAAAGTAGAAAACTAAAATAATCTCATAAAATTAAGTAGAAAGTTTTAAAAAAATATTGGAAGAACCAAATAAAATCCAAAAAGGCAGCATTATGATATTCCTGAAACTTAGTGATGAAACATACTATTGCATAAATGCTGTTCTAAGAAGTTTGTCAATAAGCTTTCATTTACTTCCTACAATTGGTAATACAAGAAAAAAATTTTGTTCCCTTAGTTCCTCCAGATATCATCATGAATGAGAGCAGTACAGACATCACAGCGCGAGAAGGAACAAATGTCACCCTTCTTTGCAAAGCAAAAGGATATCCAAGTCCTAACATATCCTGGAGGAGGGAAGACAACCAGCCTATTCCTCTTGGCACATGGCATGGCAAGAAATTACTTGGTAATGACGGAAGGTGACTTTCTTCTTTCTCTATTGGCGTCAATGGTATATGTGGCTTTGAAAACAAAATAGCTAGTAGGAACATTCATTTCATATTTCAGTTCCTGTTTATTTCAGATATTTGAAATATTTTCATTTCTCACATGTAGCCTAAATTTCTTACAAAAATGAAGAAGATTTTGAATTATATTTTACAATACATTAAATGAATAAATGTTCAAATGTATTAATTTTCGTTTGAACAAAGAGTTGCTGTAGTTTATTTTTGTTTTCTTAAATTAATTTTTAATTTACATTTAATCAAATTAAAACTGCTTCATTTTGTCTTTTTTGCAATTTTGTGGTCTTAAAAATTTAACATATATCCTTTTCTAAAGCTGACTAATGATTTAGAAGCGTATGTTTTAGTTAATTCTCATTCGAATACATTCCTTATTCCGATTTATTATTCAATAAATTGTACTAATTTTCATATTTTGTGTCACTTCAAAAGTTCGTTAATTTATAAAATGCCTTTCAAGATATAATAATTAAGTCCAAAACGTAATGTTTGGTGTATTTTCCTAGCATGATACTCAATAATGTTTAAGCATTTACTTAATTATATGATTTATAACAATTTGAGTATCTTGATAGAAATTGAATTAACGAAGATCTAAGATTACTGAAACGGGGAACTCGTAAAATTAAAGTTTGAAATTTAATAGCTCTTTAAATGGAAATTATTTTTTAAATTAATGTTATTTCTGGTGTGACTAGATAATCTATAGTATAGGTTTTCATATTTAATTGACATTTAGGACTAAAATTTGAAAATTAATTTTTCCCAAATATTGTTTAGTCTGTCAGTATTTCTCAGACAGTAGCAAATGGCTCATTTAATATAAGCATTTTATTGTTAGACATATTTTACTGCTTTGGTTTTCAGAGAAATTGTGACTGTATTGCTTGCTGTAGTAATTGATTACTTTTGTAATTTAAATTAATTTATATACAGGCCATAGAAGTTGTTTTAAATAGTGCAATGCATGCTCTTAATTGAAATTTAAGATCAGCCTATCAATCAGTCATTTCTGATTTGCCTACTATGCTTTGATAAAAAAAAATAAATAAATATCTAAACCGCAAACTTGATTATCTACGAAGTAGTAATTCTGGAACCACGTAATAAGAGCATTATGTATAATACAAACATTATAAAATAGAAATAAAATGCACTTAATGCAACAGATTTATGTAATGAAAATGACAGTAATTATATTTCGCACATACCAGGTTTACCACAAAAGAATTATTTTATATTCATTATCTGCAGAAATCTCATGAGTTCTCTAAATCCTTTAACATAAGAGTGTTCTGCCAGAATACAAATCAATTAGCGTGTGGTTTTGAGATCTTTTAGACAGAGCGCGTTCTTCTGAAGTTCTGAAGACCAAGTTACTAGCTTGTTATCCTAAGGTAAGCGTTCTGGTCTTCGTCATTGCTTTATACTTGCCGATAGTGCTTTTATGCCGGCGTAAGTTTAAAAGCAACTTTTGCGTTTAAATTACTCTGTGTACCCTTTGGCTAATTAACATATAGATAGAGATTAGATTTTAAAATTTTGCGTTGAGTTCTTGCCATCATTGCTGGCTGATTTGTAAGCAACAGGTGTGTCTTTTGTGAAACTTACTTAGTTTTAAATAAAAGGTTATTTTACACAAGTTTTACATTTCTGTTCCAGCGATAAATCACTTATAATCTTATTAAGGGTTTACCGGAAGCGAGATTAGTAAAAGGGCATGTTCTCAATTATATTTAAATTTATATTTGTCAGTGAATTATGAAGAAACATTATCTTTTCTTAAAAAGCAAGTCAGTTTATGTGTATGATAGAAAGCATCTGCTTTACAGACAGTCTTTTAACAACAACATATGATGTTTTTTGTGCAAGAAGACTTAAAAATACTTGGGGATTTTCCTATGATTACTAATCAGTTGCGAAACTTAATAGTGTAAACATTTGAAAGATTTTATAGGTGAAAATTCCGGTTTCACTTAAGCAACACTTATATAATTTAATTATAAAGGAAACATTTTTTCTTTTTCTTCAAGCTGATAATGAAAATGTTTTCTGGCAGATATTAAATTATTCAGGAAACAAAATACGCTACTTTTAATAATTTTTACTAAAAAATTTTAATATTTTTTTTAATAATTTTGATAATTTTTTAATACAAAATAGCTAAATTTTACTTCCCTTACAATACTAATCTCGAAAGCAAACAAAATCACTCATGAAGTCATTAAAATAAAATTTATTTTTATTCTAAATCGCTTAATCAATAAACTACTTAATTAATTCAAATGAGAATGCCCTCGCTTCATTTAACTACTATAAGTCACTTCTACGCAGGTAGGAAGAATAAAAAGTAATTAAATGAAATGAGATTTTCCTACTTTTACATTATTTAGTATTTGTTTGTTTTTATAAAAATACATAATGTACATTCTCGTACGTGTTATCCATTAAAATAATTCTAGAATATACACTCGTGGGGGATTCTTTGTGAATCGTGTTTTAATTGTTAAGACCGCAGGTGTGCATTTTAAAAACTCTGTAAATTATTAAAAATGCTCCAAAATTTGTTAAACTTCACAATTTAAAATAAAAATCAAGAAACATAACGAAGATATTTTCAATCAAATTTGCAAAGCTATTTTTCTCTGAGATAAATATTTAGCTTATTATTCAGCTATGGAAATTTGTGGAACATATCGTAAGAAAAGATCACAATCAGAATGGCACTGATGTATTTATTAATGTACGAAATATGCATTACATATTGGCCTCCATCCTCCAATATGTTTTGTTCAAACTGCATTCTATTTTACTCATTTATGTGAAATTTATACATATTTTAAATCTTTGCAGAGTTTTGTCACACGCTTCTATTTTATGTTAAAATGTAATATTATCAGGTGTATATTTTATGCTTGGACAACATAATGAGCTATTTGAAAACACGATGAAGAAATTAACACAGTACCTAATTCAAAATATATGACTAAATTTTATTGTTTCAGTAGAATATTGAAAGATTTAACCTATCTTGTAAAAGAGAGAGTGAAAATATATTTAATTAAATTCGTACGTCTACTGTTTATTTGATTTCGATTCAATTCAATCTCATTAATGTCATCTATGCCATTTGTGTCAAATTCATGTGCATTGTAGCAAAATTAAAAATCATGTGCATTGTAGTAAAATGTAAAAATTTAAATTATCTGTGCACTGTATATACTTGAATGCATGTACTCACGGACTCGGAGAATTAATGGCGGAATTTTATGAGATCCGTATGAAGTACTATTATGTGAAATGGAAATGATTTTGTTTGATTCAGTCGTCAAAAGTATTGTGTACTTTTTTGTGTGTGCGTATGTGAATGCAAAACGCCAATAGAAATAAATGGTTGTCATTGCCCTTTCCCACTTCTTTAGTCACATGTGAGATAAACTGAATCGTTTATATCCAGAACTATATAGATTTTCAGGAATTAAATAATTCTGCAACCCACAAAATATCCTAATTTTACCGCACCAGTTTTCTAACTTTAGGGCAATGTCAGAAATGCGAATTATAGTGAACTACATTATAATCTTAACAGTCTATAGAAGGAGAAACATCACAAGTTGAACGCATTGTACTACATAATACTGCCAAATAATATAGTTACGAAACGTCCACCACGTGGTAAGATACCTAACCCCACGAGGCGGGTTTAGAGTTGCATATCTGGCAGGAAATCGTCCATTTGGCGACATGCGATAACAGATGGAGAACATTTTGGAATGAATTCTTATCGGTTCGGCCCAAAATCTCGAAAGCAGCACAAAAAGCTATATAAAACCTGCCTGTACGCGGAGTAGCCAGTCTATTGAGTTTTATCATCAGTCTACTGTCGAGTTGGTGCATCGAGATTGTGCATCGTTGAGGCTATCATTGAGTGCATCGCAAGTTGTAGCTTGAAGAGTCTCGAGAGTACGTTGAATTCTGAGAATGACATAACTGATTCGGGAGCTATACTCTAATGCTTTGCCGTGAAGCTGTGTTCACTATCATAGCCTGAAGACTGTGTTGCTGATTGTTTCAGCGTGTTTGTCGTAGTTTTTCAGCGATTGTAAACGTGTTTTTAGTGCTTTCTTGAGTAATACTGGCTAATAAATTGTGTTTTCATTCTTCATCAAGTGTTTTCGTCAATCACTCCAAATCCGCGAACGCGTAGGAATGCAACAATATTCCGAAACATAATATCGTTTTGACATTTGCGGTACAGTTTATGAAGCACATATTGAAATACAGTAATGTTTTTTTGTCATCTTTTTAAGCGTCTGTAATAATTAAAAGCACTTTTCATCGCTATCAGATATTTCATATTTCAAAGTACTTATTAAATCTCGTCATTAATTCTCCAAGACCTTGTACAGTTAACTATCAGTTTACATTGTACGAATTTAACCGGAACCTCTTTGAAAATGAAACTTATTGTTTATACTGAACACAATAAGTGTGATCAGAGAACATCAGCATAAAACAAAACTGTTTGCCTAAAATATGAAAAGGAAATGTTCAGCAGGCATAATACATGTGTCAGATTATTCTGCAGCTTTTATTACTTACAACAGTAATTTAACTGCGCGTTTTAAAACATTGTCACATAATAAACAAAACTTCTAACAACTTTTTACACGAGTTTAAATTTAATAAGATAATTCAAGCCTTATTGTAAGTATTCTTCTTTAGTGATATTTATAATTTAGGTTTTATGAATTGCATTTTTTTAAATTCTGATTTATGTAACCGAATGAGTTTTTCTCGGTATTAAACTGCTTGAAAATACAATTAAATTGTTAATCATATAACAATTTAATTGTTATAACAATTTAAACGTTAATATAACAATTTAAACGTTAATATGGGGAATAAACTATATTGCAATTAATATATTAATTGCAATATAGTTTATTCCCCATATTAACGTTTTTTCAACTGTCTTCGATTCAGTCGTGATTTTGATTTAACTTGTATAAATCACCATTTCCCGTATTACCCAGGTAAACAAGTATAGAACTGCATTTCAAATCAATTTAGAATACATTTTAGAACGGATATAGAACCTATAATTGGTAACTTATTCCCATATTTGTATGCAAAATATGTAATAGTATTAATAATATGTAATGGAATTTTTTTTTCATTTATTTGTATAACTAATACATTCTCTACGAATTCAGCAGCTCACATCAAACTAATCCAACATTTACTCAAAATTTATCACGGTTGCGTGATTGAAACTTAAAGTTTATTTCCTTCTCTCCCTTAGCGACAAATTTCGACGGGGATCAATTGAACATCAGCCGTGTCAGCAGGCTTCACATGGGTGCTTACCTCTGCATAGCATCTAATGGCGTGCCTCCGTCTGTCAGCAGAAGGATACTTTTACACGTGAATTGTGAGTAGTCTAATGCTCGTTTGCGTCACAAGCAATAACCAAAGCACGCAATGAGTGACATTTCCGCTGTGCCTCAAATACTTATATTTTTACCAATTTTTATGTCAATAATTTGTTCTGAAGTCAAAGACCATTTATTGAATTTCGTGTTCTGAACTGTGCAAACTATTACTGTACATTTTTTTTTAGTAAAGTGTATGTTTCTTTTTTTAACACAAGCCATGCTGAAATAATTCAGTTCCTTTCCCATCACTTTTGCAAATTTTACAATACAATTTCCAATCGTTTGAAATAATAAATCCAAACTGAATAGGCTATAACCACTAAAATTAAGCTCTAAATTGCCATGGTAAAATGGCATCACTCTTTAATTTCTTGAATGAGGAACTAACACAGTGGTAGCCAACACTTTTGGGAAGACTGGCCACTGTTTGAAAAATAAAAGTTATGCATGCTACTTGCAACATTTCCAAACTACTAAAAAATACAAAAAGGTGAAAAGCATGTTATTTACAGGCTGATTATAGGATTTTTATGCAAATAGCACATTCTTATGTACGTCTGAGTAGTGGACATTTAAAAGTAATGTAATAAATAAACAAACATACAATCTAAGTTTCTAAGCTTTTATTGTTAATAAACATTTTTAAAAATTCAATCAGATTATAGAGTTCTTCACTTTGTAAATGCTAAGTTACAGTTGAACGTGAAGAATGTTATAAACTGATAAGCGAATAATCGCTTGATTTCGTGCAACAAGAAACAGCAAGTTGGAAGGGGAAATAACCCTTTATTATTCAGATAAGATTTAACAGAACTCCGTCTTGGAGTGTACAATAAAAGCCGACACTTGGGCTTGAACTTAAGAGGCTAAGAAGTAAACTAATCTAAACTATTGAGATATAGCCGAAGCTATCAAGATTCTAACCGAGTTGGCACCTTAACGCTAATTGACTGCGAAGCTATCAAGGGCCTAAAGGTACGGCCGAGCGTAATAATAGCTTACAAGATAGTAGCCTAAAAAGGCGGACGCGTGCAGAAAGAATACGTGGTAACTCTCTCCTTAAGACCTGGCATAGGCGTGAAAGTCAGAGTATGGCAATATGTACCATGCAAGTCTGAATAGGTAGCGATAACCTAAGTACCTAATTATGTCATTCTAGATAAGGGCGGGCGTGGTGCTCATACCAATTAACCGTAACGGTAGAGGGATGGTGCCCACGTCCTCCGTCACTCACTCACTCACTCACTCCTTAAGACCCGAAGAACTTCGCGGTTAAATACCGATCTTCCTCATCATGTATTCAGACGTGATTCTAAAACTACGTTCTGGCCGGAAGTAGTAAGTTGGAGTTAAGAATCGACAGGAAAGAAGTTTAACTCAAAATTTAACTATTAATAAAATTAACATTACTCTTACATAGTAGGTCACGTATAAAAATAAAAATTAATAATTTAAAGCATTTAATTCTAAGACTCAACACCGGGGGTCCTGCGACAAGCTAACAGCTTGCCCAGAGCATATGCTGATGCACTCCGGGGCCCAAAGTCAAGAAAGCATATTTCAGTGCACTGCAGACCATGGCCTACTGGGCACCACTAAGTTTAGTTTAGTTTATATTTATAATAGAAAACATTTGTTCTGAAATATATGTTGATCCAAACCTACAACAATATCTGGCAGCCAAATCTTTAAATTTGAAAATCTAATGTGTTCATTTGTGAATCTATCGACTTAGTTTATACAGAGATACAGTACAAAGTCCGTAATCCGGACTCGTCGGGACTTCGGCGATTCCGGATTAGGGTTTTTTCCGGATTATAGATCATCAGTTTAAATCTAGTAAGATGGCATGTAGAAATTATACAATTAAAAATATGAAATCGTAATTTATGAAATAAAGAACAATTTTGATCTAAAGGGTATCAAAATTTACATATATAATATTATATATTTTATACTTTATTAAACATTTCTTTCAATGTATGTTGTTTAAGATGCTTCCATGAAAATTTCAAAATATTCCTTTTTCTTGTGTCATATAAAGTGGACTTTCCAATGCCATACTTCTCGCATAATTTTGAGACGGATAGGCCTTTATCCATTTTTTGCAGCAATTCTACTTTTTGTTTAATGGACATTGAAACATGCTTTCGCTTTGTAGATCTTTTGGAAGCTCCAGAATTAGAAACTTTTTTTGACATATGCGAAAGTTCAAGCTTAAATTTTATAAAATTGTTCTAACAGTCTGCAAAAAATAATAAGCCGGATCCAGTTAGAAGATTAGGGAACAGCGCAATCTGCAACATTCACTGAAATGCCTTAGATAATTTTAGCCTAGCTTATACCGTCCATTATACATTAAATGCGCATGCTTAAACGCATTATGAGTTATCGCATGCGCATACAATTTGTAGCTTTGAGGTCCGGATTATGGACGGCCGGATTACAAACTTTGTACTGTGCTATTATTTTTTTAAATCTTTTAATTCAATAAGTGTTCGCATGCCTCTGTTAAAACTCCTCCGTGCCACATCGCCTTGCAGCAGTCTGGCCATCTTTAAACTAACACGATACTTTTGATTTGGAAGAGCACATGCATGGAACTTGAGCTTCTTGGGTGGAATACTAGGTGATGTTTCTTTTTTTACACATTTTTCAGTCTCCCATAATTATCAAGCTCATAAAAACACTAAAGTATAATTGTAATACCATAATAAAACACCTTCCATACTTAAATTACAAAAGAGCATGCATGGTTTAGAAGCATTAACTCAAAGCTGGCGTAGGATTCCAACACACAACGTCGAAAAAGCCCTAGCGAAATAAAACGAATTCAGACGTACAAGAAATGGTTACAAAATTATCAGTGTGGATAGCAATTGAAGCCCAAACGGTATACGTTAAGACAGCTTACTGCTGACGTCATACCTTTAAATAAGTGAAATGATGTCTGAGTGTTTACATTTGATGATGGAAAATATGCAGCTATATCGATGGGATTGGTTGCAAAAGAAGTGGAAAAAATTAGCTTTAAAATGAACCAATATTTTAAAATTTGATTTTTTTTTTTGAGAATTTAAAACGCACGTGACTTCTTAAAATTGTACAATATTTGGATTTCAGTGAATTTGCTAAGTAGAGAAATTCTATTATCGCAGACGCACATGAAATGACGGTTTTAGACCAGAAGATTATTAGTCTCGAAACGGCATTTCGCGTAGAATCACTCACTATAAACGGTTGTATCACTTTTCAAAATGTTGCCACCAAACTTTATCGTCTTGTATTATATTTAAAGAAACTAAATAATGAAGAATCTACTTGAACTTTTAAAAAGCAACTGTACCTGGAGTCATCAAATTTTCAATAACAAAGTCCTGCACCCGAACTTGGGAACATGGAAGCCCGAATTTGGAAGTTCGAATTTGTTTGATTGTCTATTTCATATTTTGTAAACCTTTAACGAATTTTTGATTAAAAAACGCAACAATTTCAAAGCGAGCAGTGGCAACACTGTAGGAAATAAAACCTTTTTATCTCCAACGTGCGAGACTGTCTATCGGAAATTCTTAAGATACAGTGTTTTCAAATATTTATAGCCCATTGTGGCGTTAGCACAAATGTTCTCGAAATGTGTATGTGTCTGTAAATGAAAAAAATAACGCCGATTTGGGAGCAATATAAGATCTGATTTCTTCTTTTTTTTTAATTTGTTATGTGCATTCATAACTGCAGTTATCTCCACCGAATGGTTGAATCTTGAATATATGGCTTCGGCTTAAAATTATCATTGTTGAAATCCATCATTCTGCTGAACTGTTGACAAGCATCGCTATTCTTCTTAACGAGGAGAAAGGCAAGCTTTGTATTTAGTGATATTTATAGGGGACTGATCATTACACTATGCATTTTTTGTTCAACATCTGGATTAATACGTCATGGTATTTTCCTACGTATTGTTATTCATAATGTGTCAATGATTTTCACATCTACGGTGCATCTGTTTATCGCAGATCTTAGGCCAGATTCGAGTGATGTCAGTAAAGATAGCTACCACATTCAACCTTTGTTATAATACATTTTGTTATGTTGTCGTGTCTATGATGTGTGGTGTGGTGGGTGGTGTGGTGTGGTGTATTTAATTATTGGCAAAGCACACGAGGGCTATCTGCCTAAAGGGAGGGATGCCTTTCGTGGAGGACTTTCTAAGGGAAACTGGCTCGTATACACGTTACACATGGGGAAAACCACGAAAACGCCCATGCAGCCAGCCCGTTCGCGGGATTCGAACCTCAGACCGAACTACCAGTGTTCAGCGTCTTTACCGCTCGGCCGCTGATGGGCCCGTGTCTATGATGAAGCCTATTGAAATAGTGCTATGGGCCGATGACAGTCCTGGCAGTCTATAAACTGTTATCATCGTAGAGGTTCAGTCTCTTAAACAAAACCCTAGTTTTTAACAATTCAGCACGAATGACTCGTCATTTAAAAATGCATTATAGTTGTCAATTTTGCGTCCGCGCAGTTCTGTTTCTGCAGATTTTACATATTTTCTATCAATTTTCAATCCCCTATGATTGCCAGTTCTAAGCGTGAATATGGTTATACTCTTGTGTTAATTTATGGATAAAGTTAAAAGGTACTTTTTCCGCCTTCTTAGCAGGCTTTCGTGGTGTAATGGCTAGCATAGTCGAAGCGTATTCGAGAGGTCTGTGGTTCGAGTCTCCGCGAGGACACTGGCCATTTTTCACATATCTTGCTTCCATATAACCTAATGTCTCTATAAAGTAAAATCTAGCTTCTAAAACTATAATTAAAAAATATGCATAGTCAAATTTTTCTTCCTCATAGTTTTACGAATGTCTATATTGCATTATTATACACTAAATGGTTATCGAAAGTCAATTTATATTATTTTCTTGAGTTTTTCGATTTCTTCTGTACCATTTTAACCACTTTAAAAATATTTATTATTCAGTCATTATTAATATAATTTTATTATTTCAATATTGCCAATTAGAATTTAAATATTTAAATCGTATATTTTGAGCAGTAAGAAATAAATAGAGCTAGTATTTCTAAATAGGAAAAAAGTGTTTTTTGAAAGAATGCAGATATTATGAACGGAAACACAGGAACATTTTAGTATAGTAATGTCAAATTATTTTAACAGAGAAGACACAGAACTCGTAATTTTTATTCAAATATTAGGCCAGATTATTCGAACTAAATTACAGAGATGAATTAAATAGTGTGTCATTTACTAAAATACACTACGAAACCTATGTGTCATTACATGTTTATAAATTCCTTAGTCGAGAGCATTTGTGCTGCATTATTCCCCGAAGATAATAAATTAGGCACCCGTTAGGTGGTAATTGCTGTCAGAAAATTAACACCCTTGCGAAACTACCAAACCTACGAATACTCACGAAATGTGTCTAATTTCGCATTTCATAGAAATATGGATTATATTTCATAGAAATATAATGGTAATAGTACAACTGTTTCGCCGTTGAATGAGATTCCTTAAAATTGAAATTCCATCGTCATGCATACATTTTTTGTGTGCTTTTTAAGAAATTTATTTATGATATAAACTGTAATAAAACGCTATAAAATAATTGCGGATATTAAAAGAATGAGCTTATTCCTATATGTAACATAAAGTCTGTTGCTTTTAGAACATTGAATTCAGGGAGATTGATGCGTTTACTCAACATTTGAATAAAACATTTTATAAAAAGAGAAAAAATATTACACTCAAAGGACCGTTTTTTTTAACATTTTGTGTGTTACCTTTCTGTATCAAATATCATGTTCTTGGCACTTGAACCATAAAATGCAATTCAACAGAAATATCGCAAAGTAATTTAGAAAGAGCATATCTTTAAAATTTCCGATACACAGTCTCGCGCGCTTGAAATAAGAAGGATTTTTTCCGTGTAGTGCTGCCGTTGCTCGCTTTGAAATCGTTGAGTTTGTTAATCAAAAATTCGTAAAAGTTTTATAAATTATGAAAGAGATAATAAAGCAAATTCAAGATTCCAAATCTGGACTTCCAGATGCCCATATTCGAGTGGACATTATTCGAAATTTGATAAATCTAGGTACCGATGTTTTTTCACAGTACGAGAAACGCACATGCATTCATGCAGCTTCTTCATTATTTAATGTATTTAAATACACTGGTGTGCAAAAATTAAGGACGAGGCGGTTTTTTCAATATAAATTTGTACAAAAGCTTTCCAAATCAACACATTTAATACCGTAAGATCCCCAATACGTAAGGACACGAGTATGTAAGGCAACACTTACTAAAAGAGAAATCAGAGGGATAATTAGAAGCTTATTGAAAAAGTAGCATGGAGAGCAAATGCGACTGAGGCCGAAAAATCCCTGTGATGGGTGTCCAGCAAGAAACATCGGTCTTTAATAGGGGATATGATCTCCCCTGACTGGCTAGGCAGGTTTCACACAGCGTCTGCCCATGCTGAGAATGAGGTTGTCAATGAGTTGTTGAGGCATTGTTGCCCATCGTCTTGCAGCGCCAATGAAGCTCCGGAATCGTTACTGGTGGTAAGGTACGAGCTGCCAAGCGTCTGCCTAGAAAATCCCCATACATGCTCGATCGGATTGAGATCCGGAGTCGTGCCGGCCAATTCATACGTTTCAATATCTCATCTCTAGAGCTGTTCGGCAGCTACTCTGCGATGACATGGTGCATTGTCGTCCATGAAAGGAACTGCGGACCCATATCGCCTCTAAAAACGCACAATGGAAGAGAATCTCGTTACAATAACGGTCCCGTTGACTGAACCTGCGTCGAAGATGTGAAGGTCTGTACGACTACCAAGCATGATGCCTCCCCAAACGAGAACACCGCCACCTCCATACCTGACCCTTTCAATGATGTTCGAGGGATGAGTGCGGCTTCCCCGCTCTCTCCAGATGAGTATGCGATGAGAATTACTCAGACTCAATCTGCTCTCATCTGTAAAGAGTACTCGTCCCCATTCATTGTCTCTCCACCGGTGTTCCCGGCACCACAGAGAACGCCTTCTCCGATGGGTAGGCGTTAGAGTACACACCGTACAGGGCGTCGTGCAAACAGACCACTACGTGCAGTCTTCTGGCCACGGAAAACGCGATATCGGTCGTCCTCGCCTGTGTCGTGTGTCTAGCGATTTCTCCCGCTGTCTGCCGCCTGTTTCTTCTGGCCTTAAGGCAATATACCGGTCACCTGCGGGTGTGGTTCTCGTGGACGACCAATACTAAACCCCGGATAGCTGTTCCTGTAGTTTGAAAATTGTCTCCATCGTGAAAGGATGCTGTGAGCATTCGAACTCTGCAGCCACACTTGTCACACTGCGGCCTTCCTCCAACTTTCCAATGATTCGACCCCGGGTAAAAGCATCAGGTCGTCTAACAATTGTTATTCGCCATTTCTCGCTGAGGCAGCAACTCGGTGTGATTTTAATGCTAACGGCGTCAATCTCTGCCAGAAATACTGATCTTACACCGACAACATGCTTTATACTACTCAGACACTCCCCCATACGTCTACTGCATATGCGCATGTGCTACCGTAACACTGACTTAACTCCTGATTGGTCTCTCTGTCCGCTCTGCCTCTTCGTTCAGCTGATATGCTAATTTTTCGACTTCGTCCTTAATTTTTGCACACCAGTGTATAACGCAGGACTCTAATATTTGGTATCAACAATTTAAAAAGCGAAACGCTGTTTATAGTGAACCTATGCAAAATGCCAAAACGAAATTAATAGCTCTTCTGTGCAAACTGCTCCTTTGGGCTGATAAAATCTAATAACATGCATAAAATCAAATACTGTTAAGTGTCCCTGAAAATTATCAAAAACTGTAGTACTATTTAAAATTATTTGCTGCATAATTATGTATTATTTTTGAAATTTTAACATTTCGTTCATAAAACACTAGTATTTAGAATTTTGTGTTATATAATATTTGTAAAATTTTTGTAAAATCAAATGTTTTGTAATAAAAATGTTATGGTAAGTAAGTTCAACATATATTTATCACTGTAATGATTCATTACGCTATATAATTATAGCTTTATTACATTCTTCTAAATAATCTCTTCATTTTCGTTCGTCTTTCCCCATCCATAAGCATTAATTTTAGCTGAGCGTTTTATCTTATTTTTAATTTCTCTCAATTAAAGCATTACTATTCTTCTCAAAATGTTGTTATTATTGCCATCATTACTGTTATTAGTTAGAATGATATTTTACTCTTAATATTACAAAAGTAATAATTTCACTAGTTAAATGTAAAAGATGAAATATGAAATGCAAAAATGCTACTACGGAAAGAATCTTAATTTCTGGTTCTTCTTTTATATTCTTATGTATAGAAAGCTAAACAAAAACTAGTTTCTGTAATTGATACTATCATATTTTTAGAAGGCCCATATTGCTAACTGATCTGAAATAATTATAAGTTATTACGATAAAAACGGATCTAGATATAACCTCAATCACCGAAACTTTTCCCAAAGCTTACGCAATAATTAAAGCGTCAGAATATGACAATAAGATAGATTTATTGAGTTAATTTTTTTCCAGCATTATACAAATGATCCAGTCGCAACAACTATCATTATATCATTCCAAAATGCTTAAAACCTCAATTTGTATTTAGCAAGACACTGCAATTAGAGAAATTCCATGCCCAGCCAACTTTAACTCCCCGTTTTTACTCTCTTTCTAAAAGTCTTTTTCATCTATTCGAATAACCCTACCATTTCTTTTTGTTATTATTATTATTATTATTATTATCACAATGCTCGAGATACAGTAATTTACCTTCCGCGGAATGAAGATATCTTCATTTTTTTCTCCTTTCTCTTATCTCGCAAAATATATAAAAGAGGCTGTTCATTATTTTACCATTTCCAGAGGTTATAATTACTTCCAGCGAGTGGTTCTGTTACAGATATTTCTAATTATCTCCCTTGCAGTTCCGCCAGTCATGTGGATACCGAACCAATTAGTCGGCGCACCGCTGGCTAAAGATGTCACGCTTGATTGCCACACAGAAGCATACCCAGCGTCCATAAATTACTGGGCAAAAGACGGTGGGGACATGATTATAAACGACGCCAAGTACGAGACATCCATCAAAGAGAAGAATTACAAGATACATATGAGATTGGCGATCAAGAACTTGGAGGAACATGACTTCGGAACTTATAAATGCTTTGCCGAGAACTCTCTCGGATCGACTGAAGGATCCATTCGTCTTTATGGTGAGCATAGATTCGGACAGGTCAAAGACAATTATTATCTCTAGTAATAATATAGCATGTTGCCATTTTTGATATCAATCATCATCCAATCATCATCATTACGCGATTTACGTTTATATATTAAAAGTGCTGAACACCATAGAAATCAAGAAAAATTTATAAAATAAAACGTATCAGAAATCTGGGCGTAGGTGTAGCTTTATGTGTCAATATGAAACTGCATAAATAAAACACCTTTTAAACCAATTTTTAAGAACATTTGTTTCCAGTGCGGTAAAAATCTAGTTTTCTCTTTTATCTGAGACATAAAATTTCTCCAAAAAATTTGGCTGAATATAATTTTAAAAGTTCATATTATATATTAATTTTCCTAATAAATTAAAATATTTCTCTAAGCGCATTTAAATTTTCAGGCCATATTGTTAATAATAAATCTGTAGAAAAATATAAATTTATTAAACTTCATCTGAAATTGCTTCACTTGTCGTTGGTTGTGCTGTTAGTTGCCAAACGACAATTTTCAAAGATCCACAATAAAGATTGAAATTTTTTTTTTGCTGTTGTTAGAAAGTTAGTTTCTTAAGTTAAATTTACATCTAAATAACGTTATCTAAGTTAAAATGAAACTATCACACATAATAAATATTCACTGTTGTCTTTTTTTTTAAGTAGAAAATTAAGAACACATAATTAATTAAGAGTTAATTTAAAGTTATCTGAAACTGGTTCACTTGTCGTTCGTGGTGCTGTTAGTTAACAAACGACAATCTTCAAAGATTCCCAATAAAGAATGAAAAATGCTTTTCTTGCTGTTAGAAAGTTAGTTTCTTTAAATGTACAACTAAGCAACCCTATCCAAGTTAAAACAAAACTATGACGCATAATAAATAGTCATTTTTGTCATTATTTGAAAGTAGGAAATTAATAGCACATAATTAATTAAGAGTTAAGTTAGAGTTACCTGAAATAGGTTCACTTGTCGTTAGTGGTGCTGTTCAAAGATTTACAATGAAGATTGAAAAATGCGTTTCTTGCTGTTAGAAAGTTAATTTCTTAAGTTAAATTTATAACTAAGAAACCTTATCTAAATTAAAATAAAATACCCATACGTAATAAATATTAATTTCTGTTCAAAAGATTATTTTAGATGTCAGTAAATTTTATAAATGATTTAAATCTTTCCTGACATATTTAGAATCAAGTAAAAGGTGTCGTAAATATATGAGAAATTGTAAATTAAAATACATTCCTGTTAAAATACGAAAGTAAGTCAACAGAACCAAAATACAGAATTTTTACTTGCAGAATTTCCATGTACGAATTCTGAAACACTACATTGTTTGATAATGTTTAGATCACTTATTAGCTGCTTTCAAAATTTCCCCGCCACTACTTGATGCTATTGCTGAATACCTAGGGAAGCAAGTTATTATACAGGGTGATTCAGAATTCATCATCAGTATTTTTTGGTGAGGTAGGTAATGGGAAAGAAGGAGATTTCACATAGGAATGCATGGGCGCATATGCCATGTAGTAGGGCAAAATGACCAAGAAAGAAATAGTAAAGAAAAAAAAAACATTTATTATCTTACATGTAACATTTCTTTGCATGGTTTTACAGACTTAAAAGAGGTGCTCAAACTGTTGACCATGTGCTAGAATGCATCACTGACAACGATGTTGCATGGACAACCGGACCTTCTGGAATGTCTGGCATTTACATACATATTGCAAGTTCATCCACGTCTACGGTTCATGTTACTTGCAAAGTCACCTAGTCGAAGACGACTGGCTTCACACGTCAAACAGCTGGCTTATGTTGGAAGTTGTGTACACACAGCGCCCTCTACACCACCATGCGTTCGTCTGCGCCCATACTTTCCTATGTGAAATCTCCTTCTTTTCCTGTTCCCTACCTCCGGACCAAATATTTATGATGAATTTTGAATCACCCTGTATTATATAGAATAAATATTTCAGCACATATTTCTTTATACGAATTTTTATGCACTGCTCTTCAAACATACTACTGTACTATAAAAACAGCACTGCCAAAAAATTATAAAGACGTCATACCACCCTCATAAAATTTGAAATAATTCAATTTGATTTTTAGTTCACCTTCGCCTATACATTATAGAAGAAATTTTGGAATCACATAATCCGATATAGCTTAGTTCGTGGTGCAGAGAAAACGGAGTTAAAGCATCTTTTCTACTATTGGATGTGCTATGGACTTTAAGGAAAGAGCTTTTGAACAAATAAGCTTGAGTTATTTTGTTAAGAAGTAGATTCCTCTTGTACTCTAACAACCTTTCTCTCTCGTTTACTCAGCAGTTCTCTCTTATTAAGATGATTCTAAAAGCTGATGTGTTCAGACGTATAACTTATTCTTAAACGATTCGGCGACCAGCCTATCATATCTTCTAAATGAGGCTTCTGCCAATGCTTTCAAGAATATCAAGTGTTGCAGCAAGTGCATATGTTTCGCTTATTTTACTTCAACGTTAATACTTGTTTTGCATTTCAAATAGATATAGAATGATGGACAATACCTGTTTTACATTTCAAACACATATACTCTAACTTTTTTCGTGAATATATTTTACATAGGAGTACTATTCAAGAAGCGTTCAGATTTTAAAATGCATATTAATCTACAATATTAATACTTTAAATTTTCAATTAATATGACTTTTAAAGCAAAACCAATTTCATCAGTAAATGAATTAGCAAAGGAAAGAATTTCCGCCCGACAAAATTTTACCGAGATATTTAATTTTAAAAATGTTAAATTTCTGATGTCTTATCAATTTTTTGTGAGGGATCTGTTGATTAAATTAGAATAATTCGAGGAAATAAGTTTAAAGGAAATGCGTCAAAAACGTATATTATTTAATACGCGTACGAGGACGTCACTTGGTGTCCACGCCAGATTTTTTTTCTTTTTGATTTTGAGGAATCGTATACAAATAGCAGACTTCTATTTTTAACAAATTTAAAGTAATTAATTTGTTTAAATCACTACTTTAAAATATCATTTATAAAAAAGTAGCTAAATTTCAGAATATTACATAGATTTATTGTCATTTGTTGCGGCTATTTTTCCCCATCTACTATCATCCGCACTTTCTTCACTTTTGCAGTTTTATTACTTTTTTCCAGTGCTTTTAACTCCTTATTATATCATCCTATTTTAACTTCTATTTTGTTTCTAAACTCTTTATTACAGCAACGCTTCAAATAAGAAAATCAATTAGCTAACGATGATCTTGCTATGGTTTACTTGAAGAAAAACCAAAGAGCAGAATATTTTGCTAGCCGAAGCGTAGAAATTGAAAATGATGTACATTTATATCGGTATTTACTTAAAATTTCATTAATAAACATCATGTCTACCGACAGTTTCCACTGTTTCTACCAGGAACAAATCTGTCATTTTGACACAATAGTAGTTCCAGCTTTCATTTGTATTTAATAAATGCAAACAAGTTTAGACGTATTAGCTGGTTAACTCTCAGAAATAAATTATACTGATAATTAAATCATTATAAATCTTCAATAGCGTTTTTTCTTCTGATTTTGCTTTATTGCAAACTAAAAGACTGTATATTCCTGCAGAAATTCCCCCTCCCACGAGCGAACCTACGAAAGACACAGCTGCTATTCGAAGGCAAAGTGTAGAAGGTAAGATTTCATTACATAGTAATACATTGTTACGAATTTTGTACGGAAATTAGTAATTTTAGTGCAATTAAATGTGAATTATATGTGATTTCATTACATAGTAATACATTGTTACGAATTTTGTACGGACATTGGTAATTTTAGTGCAATTATATGTGAAATTGTTGTAATTTTTTGTGTTATGTAACATGGAAAATCTTAAGAGAAAAGCTATGCCAAAAAAATAACAACACTGGGGAAAGTCCATTTAACATGGAGTAAATGGGTATCTCGATAATTTGGCGATATCTCGCCAAGCTGGCAACTGTTTTAGCAACTTATTTTGTGGCCACATTTGGCAAGCCTTCGTCATAAGTCGCCGAACTCGGCAACCACTTTGCGACACTTTGGTCCAGTCCCTGTATCACCGTAATAAGTATTGTAACTGAATAAATGTAATTAATCTCTATATTAGCTGCCACCGTAAATCGACACTCATATTGCCTCCGAGCAATTTCGAGAAGCAAAAAGTACTAGAAATATTTTGTCTACCGGATGAAAACCACATAAGGCCGGAGAGAGAGCAGTTGTTTAGTTGTTGTTCATCGTCATGCTTGTTGTAAATGCTTGTTGTTGCTAGTTGTTGTTCATCGTCAACTGAGATATCGTGAACTTTGTCTTTAGATGAGCTTTGCATTGAGTTGTGTTTAAAGTTCTTAGTAGTTTGAAGTCTAATTACTGATTGTACCCTGTGATACTGTGAAGACCATACGAGTATTTCTGTTAAAAATTTCAGAACTTTGAAGTGTTTCTTTTGATAAAATAAATTTTATTAACCTTTCATCAGACCTGTGTGCATTCAATCGCTTACGAACCCCTATGCACGCAACGATATTATCGTAATTCCAGTAATTAAGAATACTATTCTAAATAAAATCCGCTTTTTAATAAATACTTGCATTAATGTATAATGTACTTAAACAAAGTTACTCACAAATAAATTTAAGGGGTATCAGAAACCCCTCTACCGACAATGTTAAATTGGCCATTTTCGATGTACCTTTTCTCAAAATCTGCTGTAGATACAAGCTTGAAATATTTTTCTGTATTAAAGTATACTATCTGATTTACTGAATGAATTTTGAACATTTTGAATTTTAGAGTAATTACAGAATATTTGTTAGGCACAGTAAAATTTAGCACTTTTCTCACACAAAAAATTTAAATACAATTTTTTTAAGTTTATTACAAAAGCTCATTTCAGTAAATATTAGGGAACCTAATAAAAGCGATAAAAAGTTTAGATACCTTGAGCAGTATTCCTGAGAAAGGAACATCGAGTATAAAAAAAATCACGTTTGGAGAAAAACGCGTTTTTATTAATCCTCATTGATCAAAGCAGATGACAAAAACTAGATTTTTTTTACAGTTCTAATTTTATAGAGTTAAAGAATGGTATTTTTAGAAAGATAAAAGTGTAGAGAATTTGAAAATGCAAAAATCCGAAATCAAAATTTTTTGAAGATTTTGGGGTTCCAACACCACTTAAATAATGTTATGTCTTCGCTGTCACGTCGCTTCAACATATCTGTTTCAGATACATGATCATGATATTTACTAAAAAGATATTCTTCTTTGAAACAAAGAGCATTTATTTATAGAGTAAATATAATAATAACCCTATAGCAGTGGCATATCTTATCTTTTTTCATTAACCTCTGTTTAAATAATTAATTCAAGAAGTTTACAAATTTTGGAAATGATCTCATACGCTGTTATTCATTTGGAAATGGCTGTTATATTTCTGAAAATATTCTCATATGCTATTATTTTTCATCAATAAATGCTAAAATAAAGAAGAAAGAAAGTAGCTTTCGTAAGGGAAATTCGTATGCACATGCATCATTTCGACGTCAACATTTGATTATCAGCCACTACAAAAACTTTTAAAAAGCGTTTAATGTAATTACTCGTAGTGGTCTTAACAATGAACTTTCGAATTCGCCCCAAAATCTAGCTGTTGCATATACAAATGGTTTCTCCGATTCAGACCTCGACAAAGGTGGCGCTGACATCTATTTCATTCAAGTTAATGGTGAATCTGAATTCCGTAAAATACCTGTTGCGAAAATTGTCTTAAATTATACTCGTACCTGCGAACTCGTGGCCATCAAAAAGGCTTTAGATTCTAAGGGCCATTCTAAGGGGCAACTCTCAGCTTACCCAAGACATTATCATGCTCATGAACAAAACTACTGCTGCCCAAAGGACCTGCACACAACAATGGATACCAGCGCATGTTGATATTTACAGAAATGAACAGGCTGATGGCCTTGCTATAGACGCCCGAAATAGTCCTCAACTTTCCAACAGCTTAACCCATACCGATACTGACACAATAGCCAGCCGAAGATTTATCTCCCAATCAATCAAGAACTCCATTCATGCCCTAAACTGTAACCGTGTCATTTCCACTACCATAACCAGACTGAAGACTAAACGCTTTAAAGGAATGAAGATATCCCCTGGCCAGCGAAATTATAATAGCTGTCGTCACTGTACTGATATCCAACTTTCTCCAGACTATCTCTTCGACTGTCCTGCTATTTTGGCCAAGCTCCTTAGTAAGGATATAGCTCCCTCGCACTAACTCCTCTATTCTTCGAAGATTATAGATGTAGCTGCGGCTGTTAGCCATTGATGTTGCTGCTACTTTTAGCCATTGATGTTGCTAAGGCTGTTCATATACGCCTGTTTTACTCTGCGCTGGTACAGCCGAAACATCGCGGCAAAAACCGCGGGACGAAACGTCGCGGAGAAACAACGCAGGCGAAACCGTGCCCCCCCCTCGTGGGAGAAAACTCGCAAAGACAAAACATCGCAGTCCTAAACATCGTGTCACACCGTCGTGAAAATAAGCGTTCAAAACTTCGCACTTCAACTCGCCGTCGAAATATCGGGTAAAAAATAAAATATCTACAAATCTCGCATGACGAAACATCGCAGACATGCTTTTTTCAGACATGCTTTTCGCAAACTGCTTAAAACTGTAATGGATAGCTCATAATCTTGTGAGCGCAAATGGAGAAGATAATTTTTACTTTCATAGTTTTATTAACGAATAAATTTTGCTGACTCTAGTATCTCACTCCTCGCTGCGAAACATCGCGAAAGCATAGAAACTGATGCAAGTTAGAGCACCTAATAGATTTTAACCGACATAGTTCCTACCCGGCCCTTATTCATTTTTCTAAAGTTTTCCCGGGATTTTCCCTGAAAGTCTAATCTATAGTTCATTTCTTTTCTATGCTTCCTTCCTTCTTCTTTACCTTTTTAGAAACTTTATACCCAAACGAAATGTAAAGAAAAATTATCCTTCTTTACACTTACGCTCACAATCATATGGAATATCCATTTACATTCTTAAACCTGAAAAAGCATCTCTGCGATTTTCGTCATGCGATGATTTGAGATACTTATTTTACCACGTATTTCGACGACGATGTTTTTTAAACTGCGAAGTTTTGAACTGCTTTATTTTCGACGACGATGTTTTGTACCCGAGTTTAGAACTACGATCTTTTCTCTTTGCGATTTTCTCCCACATGTTTGTGCACGCGTTTTCGCGTGCTTTGTTTTCTCCACACTTTTCGTCTGCATTTTTTTGCCGCGATGTTATCGGCGAACACCCTGCGCTGACTCCTCGGACAAACAACAACAACAACACGTAGTATTCTAAATAGTTTGCAACAATACCCATTGACATTCTTTCTACACAGATGTAATTTCTATGAAAAGTTCTAAAAAAAAAGTATGTATCTATCTTGACTGAAAATATGGTTTCCATTTTCCAAGTTTGCAAATAAACATTTCAGCATTCCTTTCGCAGTTGTTATGTGAAATATTTTTTAATGAGCTTACTGCAACCCGTTTTATCCATTCCCAATCAACCAAGGACGGGTTAAACGAATTGAGGATTACCCGAGCCTTCTTTGTTAATAAAACCTTTATACAAGATTTTACTTTAGGGCGTATACTCCCGAAATTCTGCAGAACATAGTCAGCAAAGTGGCAAATAAAGAGGTGAAATTATGAATCTGAATGAAACTCTGCATCAGATTGATATGCATAAAAAATGAAGATAGGCTTAAAGAAAAATTCGAGGAAGGTGTTAGAGAAATTTCGGAATCACAACCAAAATCCATGCCTAAATAATTCGCAAGCAGAGTGAAATTTATGTATGATACAACATGCCTGTTTAATTCATATCTGCGAATTTTCTAAAATATATTTGAATTCTAGCGTTACACCAAATACATTATAAAGAGATTTGTTGTCTGTAAAATAAACATTAATATAAAATGTCAACAAATATCAAATAATTATACAGAAGTGTATTTTTATTATTCCACAAGAAGGCATGAATAAGTTTAGAGAATGACAAGACTATTTACCAGTGGTAATACTATCATTAAAATTTAGTTCGTGCAATGATGACTAGAACTTGAGCAAAGTAATATTTTCCCTCAAGTCTAAGCAGCTTAGTTTAGGGAAATCTTTGAGTCGTTCTTATGGTTTACTCGAATGATATCTATTAATATTACACATGACAGAATATTTTGTCACCGCATCATAAGTGTCGTGCTAATTAGTGTGATAGAAAACCAGTAAACCTTATTTGTAGGATACTTTAGAGAACAGTTCATATATGCGTAAGGATTATCTCACAGTGTTGTGCTAATGTAAGTGATAAGCCCGTCCAGCTAGCAATTGGAAAGCCTACATTTCCAGAACCGGCGAAGGTGAAAATGATTGATCACTTTTCCTGCAATAAAATAATCTGAATATGTTTAGCAAATGAGCACGAACTAAAGGATGCAGATCGTCACCACCATGAGTTAATAAACTGCATTTCGTGCCCCGTGCAAAATTCAAATGAAGAGAATGTATAGAAATCTTGCATTTCTCATGAATCCACTTGCGGTATAAGGAGTTATCACATTCGTAGAACAGTTGGAAAA